CATTCTTACTGCCCAAGCATGGCCTGATCTCACAGATCTTCCTATGTATCCTGAGCTCCGTGTCCCAGTCTTGTACAGAGTGCTGGGTCTGCTCTTTGGGTGCTCTTTACCTCCAAATTTCACAGTTCCAATTGCAGTGCTATCCTCTGCTCTCCAGGTCTCTCCCTTTGGGTCTTAGCTAGCTTCACATGGGAACTTTTCCAGAGCCCTGAGCCTCATTGTCTGAGTCCAAGCACAAGTCAGAGAGGACAGAGAGCTCTATCTTGTATCTCTTCAGGGGTCCAGACAGCTGTTTCACCAGTCTGCTGTAGTAAGAGCTTTCCATATCTGGGGCTCTGTCTGCAGATAGCCGCAGACAGCGGGCTGTGCTGGCTCTGTGACCCGTTCCTATCCTGGCAATGTTCTCACAGAAGCTTGTCTTGGGTATCTGTGCCTTCATGGTTCTCCTTGCTTTTTCTGTTAAATAAACTGTTTCCAAAGCCAGTCATGGGCACACTGGGAGACCAACTTTTTTGTTGTCTGGATCTTCTTGGACGGGATAAACATCTGTCTTGAGATCACCCAGAGCAGGTGGCAGATGGACCCCATGCAAGGAAAATTCAAATATAATCAGATCCGTTGCCTTTTCTTTCTGGAGAGGGGGATGGGGCAGGTCAGCTCTTACTTTAACAGTCAAAAGAAGTTGCCTTTGCTTTACCCTGCTCTTCAAGGTCAGCCTAGCTAATGAAAGTCAATCTTCCCTCTGCCTTTCTCTGCTGCATGAGCAGAATCTACCTGCGGGCCCTCACCTACTGCTGCTGCTGGCTACCTGGCCTGCTGACCATGGGTAACGCTAGCATGGACCTTCCTGTTGAAACAGATCCTTCCAGTGGGCCTGGGCACTGTGACAGTAGCTACATCACTTATAGATCGCACGTTTGACCTGTCGGAGGAGAATGGCTTTGTCCTGGGGGAGCTGTCTGTCCACAAAAAAACACACAACCCGTACTGAAGTCAGGCTTGAAATGCTGGGGGGAAACTCTTCCCTGCTACATGGCTGGTGTCTGGCATGAAACAAGTGGTTTCTACTCACTGTGTGCTTCTGTGCTGCTAGGCATAGCTTCACCTTGCATGTACCTCTCTCCCCTTCCCTCACAAGGACTAAGATCTCTCTGGGTACTGCCATGGAAATGGGACTCAGTGATGGAGATCTGTGGGCTTGGCCTGTCCCTGGTTGAACACACGTTGTATTAGGTGCAGCTTGTTTCTGATGCTACCTGAAGTTAAATGTGTGCTCAGTTTACCTCCTTCCTGATGCCCCTGAAATCCGGTCACTGTACAGTGACCGTGTGGCACCAGGGCCTGTGCTAGGTGTGCGGGGAAGCCCCAGATGGGACCCTCCTGTGCTGGGGGAGATGCTGTTCTTGACCCTGTTGCTGAGCTCTGCATAAGTCACAGCTTCAAGTTTCCCTTCCTCTAGGAAAGGCTGGCACTGCCTATGAGGAAGGAGAGAGAGGATGGTCAGGCAGATCCCGTCAGTGCTTGAAAGAAGATAGGAAGGACTTCTGTGGAGGGACATGGAAAGCTCAACAACACAAGCAGATCCTGTGTCTACCTGTTTGAAGGGACAGATCTTATGGAGCTTGTCTTTTGGAAATGTCCCGTCTATGTCTTCTCAAGCTGAGAAGTACCTTGAATACGGCTATTGGAAATAACTAATCCTGTTGCCTGCTTGGAGTAGCTCTCCAGTCAGCCAGCACTTCCTGATGTGCATGGACGGATCAAATAGTAACACAAATGCTTTCTCTGTCTTCCTGCCCTGTCCTTTAGGATTTTCAGATGCGCCCTGATGCCGCAGAGTCTCCTTAGTCCTAGCAATGCAGCTCTCGTCCAGTGCCGCCGAACTCAGCTGTGACGAGATGATGGACCCGCCTGCTGAGGATTTCCAACAGGTCCTGTCCATCGACCAAATCCGCTCCATCCGTGCCAGCAACAACTACGTGGAGAGACCGTCTGCTTGCTTCCAGCAAGCTCACTCCAATCCGTCGCTGTCACAGGCACCGTACAAGCAAGAGTGGTCTCAGGACCGCCTGCTGTCTTCCACCTTCCAGGACCTGCACCGCAGCCACAGCCAACAGCACCAGATGCCGCCTTTGCAGCAACACATGAGCCATTCCAGCACGGCCAGCTCCGTGTCCCAAAGCACCACGGCCTCGGAGCAGCGGCTCCTCAGCAGCCTCACGCCTTCCCACTCCGGACACTCGCTCATCCGGACACAGCCCAGAGCCGGCGAGCTGAAGGCGGAGGAGTCACCGCTGAAGGGGGTGGCGGAGAAGCCGGCCCTGCACGCGGGGCACCTCTTGGTTTGCGAGGAGTGCGGGCGGTGCAAGTGCGCCCGCTGCACGGCTGCGCGCAGCCTCCCCTCCTGCTGGCTCTGCAACCAGCGCTGCCTCTGCTCCCCCGAGAGCCTCCTCGACTACGGGACTTGCCTCTGCTGCGTCAAGGGCCTCTTCTACCACTGCTCCACGGACGACGAGGACACCTGCGCAGACGACCCCTGCTCCTGCGGGCCGGGATCGTGCTGCGCCCGCTGGGCCGCCATGAGCTTCCTCTCTCTCCTCATGCCCTGCCTCTGCTGCTACTTTCCCACCCTGGGGTGCCTCAAACTTTGCCAGCGGGGTTATGACAGCCTGAAACGTCCCGGCTGCCGCTGCCAGAACCACACCAACACAGTCTGCAGGAAAATCTCCACCTCCAGTGGCACACCCTTCCCCAAGACGCTGGATAAGCCAGTATGACCTTCCCGGGGAGGAGAAGCAGGCTTTACTTCTCTTCCTCCTCCTTTCCCTTCCCTCCCTCTGCTCCTTCGTCTCCCTCCATCCCCCTGCTCTGCAACTCTCCCCCCTGCCCACCGCCACCGTCCCGGGAATGGGACAACGGAACTGCGCGTCCCTCGGCGTCCCGGGAGCACGACCGCTGCTCGGAGGCAAGGAGAGCGCGCTGCTGCGCCCGGGCAGGCGGTGCGCGGGAGGCGCTGCATTTGCACATGCCAACAAGGGACTGTGACGGGCAGAGCGAGCCGTGGATGCATCCTCTGGCCGGGGCTGTGTGGGGAAGGGCCTTCTTGAGGGAGGAGGACACACCTCAGGACTCTGACCTTAGCAGGTCTTAGAAGCTCTCAGTGTTCTCCAGTATGGCCCCGGCCCTGCTGGAAAGGGGAAGAGTTGAGGTCATGCATCCCCACACGAGAGTACTCCAGGAACTGGAACATTGTTTTCCTCTTTTCTTTGGCACTTTTCATGGGTGGCCTCTCAGAGTCTCCTCTCCCACTGTGGTAGGTTTGCTTTCCCAAAGGGATTGGGATGCTGCAGGGTCCGTCTGAATGGCAGGTGGAAGTCACTGGGAGAAGCAAGTGAGCTTCAAAATGAAGTGGCTTTTTATTTTTTTCCATCTCAAAGAGAAAGGGAAGGTGGGGAAAGCTTCAGAAACCTTCTGGCATGGGCAGGGAGAGGTACTGGAGGCAGCCTGGCTGCAGCAAGGGAAGGTCCTCCCTGGGAACTGGCTGAGCACAAGAATCTGCTTTGAAATTGTCATTCAATTCCTAATGCCTTGAGGTGCAGTGGTAAAGGGCTGGGTCCAAGGAGCTCTCACTGGGGCAGTGCTGCATCCCACTAAGCTGAGAAGCTGCATTCCATCCCCGAACGGCCGCTGCAGGCCCTCCTTGGCAACTCCATGGCCGAGCCCCAAGAGCAGAGCAGGCTGTGATGCTTGTCTTCCCTTCCAGGATCGGATGAGGCACACCAAGGGAACAGGAATAGGGCTTAGTGCTGCCATTCTGTTCTCCAAATCTGTAAAGACCTTCTGCTGATTTGGTACCTTCTACCAGCACTGAATTCACTTTAAAAAATCCAAGCTCAACTGTCAGCAGCTGATCCTCACAGTGCTCTCCTTGTCCTTTGGCAGATATCCTTGGATGTTCCCCTGCGGGGACTCCTGAGACTCCTGCTTTTGGCTGGGGGAGAGCGTAGGAAGGGCTCTCTAACAGATGTGAACCTGACCTTCCCTCCCTACAGTGGTTCCCCGTGAGCCCTCACCTAACTTTGGCCCATTGGCATGTCACAGCAACAGCAGTGTCCCGCCAGCTGGCAAGCCTTGCTGGCATTGCTGAGGGTATTCTGCAAGGTGGCCACCTGCTGCAAATTGGAGATGGGTCTGAACCAACCCCTCAGGCTGGGCCATCTGCAGACCAGAAGGAAGCCTGAATCTGGGTCACTGCTTTGCGATTTATTTGCTGTGACTCTGATGAGCCAAACCCAGTCCTTGCAGCTGAGGTTGCTCCTCCTGGAGCTGGACCCGGCCCCCTCGCTGCCCGTGGAGATGTGATGCCACCACTCAGCTGTGAGCCCTGCTGACCTCAGCCAGGCTGATTTTCTAGTGCTTGGCCCTGCCTGCCTTGCCTTCCTCTGAGATGTTTGAGTACCGACGCGTGTGTGGACGGAAGTGAATGGCTCCCCTGGAAAAACTTATGCAACATGTCCCTTGGCTTCTTCCACATCCCTGCTATCCAAAGCTTGTCCATTGCAGTCACTCAGCCATCTCTTTATGTAGAATTCTGTGGATCTATTTTTGTATATATAAATATAAGTTAGGATGGCTAGGACTATTACTAATAATATTCGTGATACTGCTGTGAATGGTGCCAGATGGGAGGTTCAGCTTCCTGGTACACGTGCACATGCCAGATGATGATTTCCCAGTGTGTTTATTGCTAATCCTAAACCTTTAGTTCCTGGGTAGCCAGGAGAAGGGGAAAGGGAAGCTTTACAGATACTCTTAGTGGGGCTTTGTTTTGCAGACAGTGGGTAGGATCCATGAGTTAGGCACTCATGCTGGGGTTTCTCTTTCTTAGCATTTCTTGTCCAGAAATCCAGAAGACAGGAGTGATCTGAGCTCCCTCACCTGCAGAGAAAGCTGGTTCAGAGCGTGGTATATTCCAGCTGAAAGTACAAAAGCCCATCCCTGGTGCAAAGCTTGTATCTGCTGCGTTACTCACACGACTGAAATCCTGACACAGAGTTCACCCAGGGCCTGAAAGGGGGATTTGAAAGCTACTTTCTCTGACCAAAGAGAGAGACACCATTTCCATAAGCTGTGGAGAATTCAGGTGAACATCTTCTGGCATTAAGGAGGGAGAGGCCCATGCTTGTGAGGTTTCTAAGCCCTCTAAGGCTAGTTCTGAAATCATTTGGGCTTTAAGGCTTGGAGCATTTTGTCTAGGTATAAGTGTCTGTACCCCCATAAGATCTGCCCCTGTATCTGTGGCATTGGTTACAAAATATCCTTCAAACATATTAATCCCAGTAATTGCTTGGCTTCCTGTTTCCAAGTGGTATGTTGAGGAGGGACTTCCACCAAGAGACATCCTTCCTTTTGAATTCCCAGTTCACTTTTCTACTGGTGCTAACTAAACTCCTTTTTCCACACATAAAGTTTTTTAGGGGGAAATAGTCCTTTTTTCATTGAAGATTTGAGGAACTAGTTTATTTCAATGAGAATGTGAAATGGATCATTGAAACTTTTTAAAGAAAACTAATGAACAGAATTTTCCAACATGTTCTGCTTTGATTTTTTTTTCTTCCCGTCTAAATGAATCCTACTTGTAAATTTAGTTACCACCTCTGTATCTTTGCAATCCGTTGCTTCCTCTCCTGATGGTGGAATGACTCAACATATGAAGCTTCATCATTTTCACGGCCTCCTAAGTCATGCACATACAGGGTGACCTCCCCCAAGTGCTGGAGCTGTAGGATGAGAACATCACTGTCCACGTGTCAGATCCTTAGAGCAAGTTTTGCACCATGAAGTATAATCCTGCACTACTGTTGCAGCATATTTACCTTCAGTGACTGGTAGGAGACCCGAATGCCTGCCAATATGCTTCTATCTAATAGGCTTTTCTATCTGGGTCAGTGCAGAATCCTATTTCTAATAGCAAATCATGCCATAGCCTAGGTGCAGGCTGAGGAGTTTTGGCCAGGCCCCTTGATTGCCTCATCTCAAAGAAGTGACAAACAGATATGGTATGGTTTTTTTTTTTTTACTTTTTTAATATGGGACACGGGGAAGGAAACCAGAGCAGGAGAGAGCTCCTGATCAGTGTGGAGTTCTTGACTGCTGGGTTTTGATTTGAAAGTGTTGGGAGTAAAAGGCAGAGCTATGTCCAGGCCTTCTTGTTGCAAGGGCTAGAGCAGGTTGGAGCCATCTGGTCCATACCCTGTTCATGGTGGCGTGTGGCTTCATGTAGCCCTCTTGCTCCCCAGGTTCCTTCTGGCTCAGAAGAAAAGGCAGATCCTTCCCGCTCCCTCCCCGTCACTGTCTGCCAGATAGTTTGGCTTCCCTTTAGATAGGACTCTAATTTTGGTTGGAGTTATGAGCCCCTTTGGTGCCCCACCCTGCAATGAGTCAGATGGCATCTGCTCCAGATGTTTGTTTGCAGCTGCTTGTGCTGGCAGTTTGCGTTTATCTCTGTCCCAACATGTCTTTTTCAGTTTTGTTTTTGGAAAGTCACATGCCAAGTTCTCTGTTTAATTTGTGCCAATGGTGACTAGGACAGATCCCCTTTGCTAGAGGAGACATCTCGGTCTTGTTTGCCTGTGCTGGTCATGGGCTCCTGTGCCAGGAAGCATGAGAAGATTTAGGGCAAATGCTGGAACAGAGAGACTTGGGTGCCAAAGGAGAATGAAACAGGGCAGGAGTTACAGAGCAGGTCCTGAATTCCCCTTGCTCTTCTCCTCATGCAGGAGCCTGTTCCTTTCTTCCCAGCAGATCTTCAGGCAAGACCTGGAGGGCAAGATATGCAAGGGGCGTGCAGCCCTATCCACACATGAGCTCCTGCTGGCTCCTGCTTTGTGTCAGGGCTTCCCTTGGCACCAGTTCTCTCCTTCCCTTTGGGCAAATGTGTGATTGGTGCCAGCCCTGGCTAAGAGGGAGCACTGGGGACTGAGCTGGAGCCTCTCTCCCATCCCAACCCTCCCCGCACTCCCAGTGGAAAGGTAGAAGGTGTGTTTGGTGCCCTTGAGCTGCTGCTAGGGCTCTCTCCCCTCCCTGAAAATCCTTGGTGCCTTGCATCAAAGCACCCAATTCCATCAATTCCATCCATGTACCTCAGAGAGTAATTGGCTTTTTTGTTGGGGGGGGGGGGGAAGGTCCTTGGGATTTTACTCTTAGATTCCCATAAAAGTCCATTGAGTTGACTCTTGCTCATCTCCATATGTGACCTCAAATACCTAAGGGAAATTGTCATTGACCAAAATATGCACAAAATAACAGCTTGTGAAGAGCTGCTGAAGTGCAATAGAGATGGATGAGTGAAGAGGTGAGAGGAACTGCTCCAGGGTTTATATGAGTGGAGGGAAAAAAGGAGGAGCACACCATGCACCAAAACTCATGCTGTCAGCACCCACTTTGTTAGTTTTTTCTCTATCTCTGGCCCTTGGCTGTTTCCCATCTGGATAACCCCGGGAAGACTGGGAGGTCTGCAGACACTGAAAGGCATAACTTTTCCAGCAGGTGAAGAAAGTTGAGAAGGGATGTACCCACACCTCATCTTAAAGTCTGTTCTCGGTTCTTAATTGCATCCAGTTCAGGCTTGCCTTCTTTGAGGAGCATATGGAGCTTCTTCCTGCTGGATACTCACATGCAGTTGGAGAATGTTGCTTGGGATCCGTTCCACGTGGGCAGAATCAGAGCTGTAATCTCCGTCTGGCTCAGTCTGCTGTGGGATATTTCTCAGTAAACACTGAGATGTCTTGCAAACTGCTTCTCCTTTTAGTAACTGCTCTTTGCTCCCAAACTGCAGGTTTGGAGCTTGCTCAGGTGAGATTTTTTTTGTTCTACTTGGGGTAACAGTCACAGCAGAATCCACTTAGGGCATTAGCCAGAGAGTCTGAAAGGTTCCCTTGCAAAGGGGCTGGAGACAGGAGGGGTGCTGGCTGGCTGGAAAATGCCTCCTTGTGGTACATGTGGGATGTCTCAACGTGCCAAGCAAAGGGAAGCAGAATCAGTGCGCAGATGCCCAGGGTGTGAGGACAGAGACTTGGGTTTCTGTCCTGTTGCATTAAGGCCACACTTCATGGCTTCCGTGGGACTGGGACCAAACCCACTCCGGGGAGAGGGCCTGCCTGTTGGAAGAGGAGGTTCCTTGCATCTCTATCCCAACTATTGCAGCAGCCATGAGTGCATGGTCATTCCAGGATCTGGCATAGCCAGCCCACTACTTCCCTGGGCTGCTGCTCTGCTCTGGAGGAGCCCCTTTCCCCCCAACCCTCTCCTTCGTCCGTGCCCTTCTTTTGCTCAGCAACTCCCTCAGGCCTTTGTGATACTCTGGACTGGCAGTGTCTGCTGCAGCCTCCTGCCTCCCCAGGTGTCCTTAGCACAAAGTTCTCCTTAGAAGATGGATCCCCTTGGCTTCAAAGGAGAGTCTCATACCAAGAACCGGAGCATTTAATTCTCCATTCAATTGGTACAGTGGCATTCTGTACAGTGTATAAAGAGATCCCTTCCCCAGCTGTCTTTATTTTGGTTCCTTTCTATAAGGTATAATATATGTTTATAACCTGATGGCTGTTTTTTGACAATACTCTTATAACTTTTAAGGGGAAATATAAAACAAAAAAAAAGAAAAAAAAAACAAAAAGTAAAGTATTTATTTGAAAAGTTTATTTTAAAGATAAGAAAAAAAATAACCTATTTATTTTACTGTACCCTCTTCTGTTTGTTTTTCTTCTCTTGCAAAGCTAATAACTGTTACTGAACCACTGCTGAAATGAAAGAAGTAATTCTATGAGTGGCTTCACAAGCCCACTTAGAGCAACTATTCAATAAAAATATATATTAATTTTGAATGGTCTCATTCTTGTCTTCATGGAGAGCAGCAGCCAGGTGATGGCCAGCCCAGCGCATGACTCAGACTCTTGCTTTGGCAGGCTCTTTCTGGCTGATGTGGAGCTGGCATTGAAGGGGCAGTGCTGGGTGGCTGGCCTTAACGCTGGCGTTGATTGCATGTTGGGGTGGTTGCTTTTTAACTCTTTGAGGTGTCCACTGGTTGCCCTGTGCTCGTGCTTAAGGAAATCCTGAAAAAATCCACTGGGTGCTTTAATGCTGCAGCTGTCCCAGATCCCTGAGGCAGGATATGTCTTCCTTAGCAATGGACAGACTAAAAATAGGGGGAAAGGGAGGTTACAAATCCCTATGATTTGGGGGTTTCTGCTGCTCTACAAATCTTTCTACATCTCCCTGAGGCCCTTTTTGCTTTTGGTAGAGATGGGGTGATGCTGCAGGGCAACTGATATCCTCTGCAGGGGGAACAGCTGTTTGGACACAGCTATCTCTGTCCACCAGCTGCAAAAGGTGCCTCAGTTACCTGTTTAACATCTCAGGGATGAATCTAGGCCATAGAACAAGAAGCTGCCAGGTGACTGCAGTACCTGGTTTGCTCTCCTTGCTTGTTACAGAGCAAAGTAGCCCCCACTTCTGCATGCACAAGGCCCAGTAACTGTAACATCTTCTTGCCCTTAGAATATCTTTTGTTATAGACCAGTCCTTGGGGACCCCTCTCAACCTTGCCCAAGGCAAACATTATTCATGTATCTCACCAAAAAAACTTTTCTCAGCTGCTCTATTGGTTTTGGAGCCCTCTTTTCACTCTCTCTGGCCTTGGAGGATCCTTTCCAAAATACACACCCATGCCTCAGCTGCAGCATTCAGGATCTGTCTCATAGTTGTGGAGTATATACGTGAATCCAATCCCTACTGTGACTCATTATCTCTCACTTTGGAAACAAAGGATCGCTTTAGACCATTTGTCACCCATTGGGTCTTTTTGGTGCCAAAGTTTTTTTCCCAGACACATGGCCTTCTTTTAACCATATTATAACTCTATTTATATAACATCCCCTTCCCAAACCTATCCCATTATCCTCAGTTTGTGCCACCAATCTTACTGTCATCTACAGATATTTATCACCTGTGATTCTGTAGGTGGATGCTGAAGGAAACCTCAGGAGCTGAACTGTAATGTGTGAGATGAGCAGGTAAGCACAGGTAGGAATTCGTGATATAGGAAAGATAGACCAAGCTACCTGGAGAGCAGGACTTCAGTGGGATACAAAAAGTGATGATTTGAAAAAATAGTAATAATTCCTGGATACTCTCCTGTTTCTGTGTAGAGAAAGTAATAATACTTCCTGGAATCACAACAAGTCTCAGTGATTGGGCTTTTTCCTAAGGATGGGGTGTTTTTTGTTGCTGTTTTTTTTTTTTTTTTTTTTTTTTTCCAAACTGCATTCTTTGGTGTTTGTCTCCTTGTGAAGGAGCAGTAGAAACACCAAGGGTTTGTGCATGCCGTGACACACACTGCCATGCACAAGGCCCGTATGCGGTCACACTGAGTCACATACCTGCACCACCTGGACAGTCAGGTCAATCTTGTTGGTTTAGCCCTGAATAAAAAGTCACTCTTTCCTGACAAACATAAGCAAATGATGCTCAGATCTGAAATGTGTATTGTGCAGCCAGCTCAGGTGTTCGTACCATGCTGTCCCAGGGCTGGCCTGGGCGCAACAAGCTCACCTCCACCTGCCCTCTGCACAGGAAACTCTCAGTTAGAGTCCAAGCTGTTTTTCCAGGAGTGGCTTCCAACACTCGTTGAAATCTTCCCTTGCCCTCAGTAGGAGCAGAATTAGGCGACGCTCAATTTCCCCCTAGGATATTAAGTGCGGACTAAACACCCTGCCTGTGCTGGTAAGCCACAAGATGGGAGCAGCCCTCACCGCACTGGGAAAGGTGCCTGCTGTGCTCCAGGAGCAAGGGTAGGTGTTTGCAGGGAAGAGGGTGGCTGTCTAGACAGCGGAAAGAAACAAGCCCTCTTAAGGACTCATTCATCTCTTCCTAAGATGGCTAAATAGGTCAGATGACTCATGCCCTGAAAGTGCCTCTTTCTCTGCACTGACTACAAAGCGGGGAAGGAGCTCTCAGCCGCTCTCTGCACTGAAGACGTCTGAAGTTAGCAGATCTGAACCTCACTGCTGCGGCGGTTTCAGCTGGTCAGCAGGGGAAATCGGCCTAGCCCACAGATCCAAAGCACTGCTGGTGACTTCATCAATGATGGTGATGATGAGGCTAAGGAATATTTAAAAGATAGCTGGTCTTTTACCTGCAGTGAAGGTGATAAGCATATAGGAACCTGGGAATATAGGGCAGTTGGAAGGCCACACCAGGGTCCATAAGGCCTCTAGAGCAGGAGTTTAGCCTGGTTCACAGATTGCCTTCTCCTCAAATACAAATATTCATAGCTCCACTGCATTCATTCTTCACTTGGGGTTTAGGGCAGCTTGTTGCTTTGCAGACCTCTGACCGCTGTTCTAAGAGAAGCACCCACTGAAGTTGCTCCTGACATCTGCTTTGCTTACTGCTGTTCAGAGCTGATCAGACAGACTTGGGAATTAAGACTCTGGAGGAATTATGGGTATGGGATTCACCTGGGCTGTAAGGGAGCAGTGAGAGGGCATGGGGAACTGTGGAGAAACAAATCTTTGAAATAGCTCATAAGAGAAATGGCAGCAACAAAAGGTACCTTCATGCTGTGACTGCAGCCTTGGGGACTTGCTCCTTACAGGCAAGTGGGTCTGTATGGCTCCTGATGATGGCAGCGTGCTGTGATCCTTTTGCAATGCGGACAGTTTCTTTAAAAACATCAAGAAAACCCTGCAGTTCATGACACAGTCCCAATATTACAAATCCAAGCTCTGGCCCTGCAAAATATCATGAGATTGGCTTAAAAATCAAGATGCAGCTCACAGCAGATTCTTGTTGTTCCGTTGCTGCTTTTGGCAGCTGCCTGAGTCATGCTCACAAGCCTCTTTTACCAGACACTGGGGCTAGCAGCTTCACTGAAATAATTAAATGAGCGCTGTGAATCTCATGTGAGCCCAGGAGCAGGAGGCATAAACTACCCCCGACATCACAGCCTGGAGATCAGAAATGACAGTGAATGTCCCAGAATTTATTTCAAAGAGTCCAGAAAGCTGCCATGCCCAGAAAGGGTCTTAAAATGTGACCAAGGCACGGAGAGCCATCTCCTCATTGGCCCCAGCGGATCATACAATTGGCAGTGTTTTCCGATGGGCAGGGCAATGAGCTGCATTTAGGAGGTCTGTCTTCCTATTTTAGTTCAGTCAGTGATGTACTTTTTCCCCTAGACACCTTACTCATTTCTCATCCCTTGTCCTTGACAGCTGCTGACTGTGAATGAGCCGATGCACCTAGTTGCAAGGGCTGCTAATCTTCCTGAGACGACGACTACTACTACTGTGCTATTGCAGGCAGAGCCAGCAGCATCTCAGCCTCTGCCTCTGTGGCCACTTGTATTTTTAAAGTTCTCCACGGGTGCCTGAAGCAGTGACGGGTTCTCCTGACAGGTGGACTTCTCACCTGAAGCACTCCTGTTGCCCGCCTCTCTCTTCATATTTCTGATGCTCAGGAAGTGGCCAAGGCTGACCAGATTTCTTCTGGGTATGTTCAGAGCAAAATGGTTATTCTGAAATAACACTTCAAATTCTGCTGGGCAGCTTTTAAATGATATATTTCTTGCATCTTCTTCCCCTGTGTCTTGTTATTCTTAAGGACATTTGCATGACACAGTAGGATCTCTTCCTTTTGATGTGTAATTATCATCTGCAGAAATGACTAATCAATTAAGGACAGTCACTACCAGGATTTCTATTTATTTCTTTCTCATTGAAACCAGAGCAAATTTGCCCTTTTTGCAGGGAAATGCTGATTTTTTTTTTCAGACATTCTTGCTGAAAACTCCCTAGTGGTACTGAA